TATAGGGTTTTAGGGTTTGAGGTTCAGGGCTTTAGGGCGTAGCGTTTTTATGATTTTAGGTCGAGGGTTTTAGGGTTTGCGGTCTAGGGTTCAGGCTTTTGGGTAGCGCTTGGGGAGTCGAATTCGGCTTAGGGTTTAAGGTTTAAGGTTTAGGGTTGAGGGTTTAAGGCTTAGGGTTTAGGGTTTAGGGTCTAAGGTTTAGGGTTGGAGGTTTCGAGTTCAGGGTTTAGGGTTCAGGGTTTAGGGTTTATAAGGTTTAGGGCTTTGGGCTTCGGGTTTGTGCTTGGGGCTTTAATTTCTTGATCCGAGTTTAGGGGGTCAGCGAGGCGCGGTTCGTTGCCGGCTGTACGGATTCGGAGGGCTCGGGCCGTCAGACCCCCAACTTGATTAAAGGAAACTACAGGTGGGGAGTTTAGGGTATATAGACCTTCTATAAGGCTCCTATAACGGCCACTACCCACCTGAAAATGTCCTAGGCCTGAAGGTGGAAGGTGCGAACCCGAAGCCCAGAGCCCTCTGTTAAACTTAATGCTCCTTGCCCCAAAACTGCCGATTTCGACCCGAAGCCCTAAACCTTAAACCCTAGACCTTCAGACCCTAAACCCTTAACCCTAAACCCTAAACCCTACCCTAAACCCTAGACCCTAAACCCTAGACCCTAAACCCCAAGCCCGTGGCCCCTAAGCTGCCAACTTCGAGAGGAGCTTGGTGACCTTGTGGTGGGGTTTCTGAGCTTCACGGACCAGGGCAGCGAGTTCGTGCCATGCCTGGGCACCGGGTTTAGGCTGCAGGGTTCGGGGCCCAGCTTGGGGGTTTAGGGTTTAGGATTTGGGTTTAGAGGTTTGGGTTTAGGGTTTGGGGTTTAGGGTTTAGGGTTGAGAATTTGGGTTTAGAGTTTGGGGTTTGGGGTTTGGGGTTGAGGGTTTGGGTTTCGGGCCAAGCTCGGGATTTAGAGGTGGGATAGTGGACTTCGTGTTGACAGGTTGAGTCAAGGTCGAAGCCTGTAACCTAAGCCGCAACGGTGTTCCTGATTGGCAGTAGGATCCGCAGTTCACGGACTCGTGCATAAAACTAATCCGTAAGGTCTAGGTGAACATGCGTACTTGTAGTACATTCTGTTGTAGAATGCCAAGCTGATCGGTTCCAACGGTTCCAAGCCCAATGATTGTCTTGGCGCTGGAAAAAAAGTCCTCTGAAGTAGACTCCTTCGCAGATAGTTGTTGCAAGAGTGCCGTCATGCCGGATGACTGTAGGGGGGATCCTTATTCAGCCGGTCAGTGGGGCAGGCGTTGTTGAGGCCCGTGCGGCGAATGCTTAAGGGGCATTTTGTTGGCTGCTGCTGCTGCTGCTTCTGCTGTTGCTGTTGCTGTGGCAGTGCTGGGGACGCTGCATTCGGATTCGAGGGCGCTGACGGCGGAGGCTGTAGCACATTTGCAGGTGTGACTTTCGGCAGAACCTAACCTTGCTTTGACATATCGTTTGCGGAGCCATACAATAACAACACGAACGAACAGGTGTTTCAAGCCTGTCTCCCCCTCATTGCCCAGTCTTGAAGTCGTTTATATGGAGCGTGCATACCGATCTGAGGTGTTTGGCGAATCGTACAAGGATTTCTTCTTTGCCTTCAAGGTCCTCCCGGTGATCATCTTCTTCAGCTCGATAGTGTCAGCATGCTACCATCTGGGGATCATCCAAGAGATCTTCATCCGGGTCGGATGGGTGATGCAGATGCTGAGCTGCACTACCCTAAACCGTAAACCTTAAACCCGCAAACCCTAAACCTTTAACTTTAAACCATAAACCCTAAACCCTAGACTCTAAACCCTAAACCCTAAACCCTAAACCTTAAGCCTTAAACCCTAAACCCCAAGCCCTTAAACCCTAAACCCTTAAACCCAGAGCTGCATGCCCCAGCAGCGCTGGAGCTTCGGTTCGGGACCCGAAGTTGAGCATTACATCCCGCAATGCCGAAGCGCTGCAAATCAACTCTCTCAAGGGACAATAGGAGGGATCCCAGAAGGGACCCCTAATCCAAATACCCTATGTAACCCCTTATATACCCCTTTTCTAGTCTCATAAAGCTCCTTTCAGGGGTCCCTTTAAGGGTCCCTGCTTTAGTCCCTTGAACAAATCTCCGGAAGACGACCAGACCGCATAAGCATTCCCGCCCCACACCTCCCCGTGATTTGAGGCTTTCAAGGGGAAACCCAAGGCCCCCCCCCCCCCCCC